AATGGGGACCATGGGGGGACGGGGACACCCTGGAGGAACAGGGACCCTGGTGGTAACAGCCCCCCCAGCCCCAAAGGGTGAGGGGTGCCTCTGCCCCGGGTGTGGGACCCAGCAGGGACCCGGGAGGGGCTGGGTGCTGCCCTGCGGCAAGGGGGCAGGACCCCCACCTTTCCCCTCCCGAAGCTGTGGGGCTGGCGAGGGCGGGGAGCCCTGGGCTCGGGGGGATTCTGCATCGTCAGGGACAGACGCTGCCTTCCCCCTCTCTGCAGGCCTGGGCCCCAGCCCCCCCTTGCCCAAAGACACCCCCCAAACTCCCTTTTACCGTGCTGGCGGGGTGGCTGGGAGAGGAGCCCCCCGTCCCTCCCTGGCAGCGGGGGGCCCTCGCCCTTGCCTGCCGCAGCCCCCGGCCGCAGGGCCCTGCGGGGTGTTTCAAGAGCAGCTGCCTGCAAAGCTGGGAGCTGGGGGGGACGCGGGTCCTGCCTTGTCCCCTACGTCCCAGGAGGTCGCCGTGACGCCCGTGCCCGGGGGGCAGCTCAGGGCGCTTTGACAGGTTGAGGGTGCTGGGGAGTGTGGGGACTTGGGGGTTGCCCCAGAGTAAGGTGGGGCTCAGCCCCGTCTGTGCTGGGGTCCCCGTGAACATCGTTACGAAGTCGGGTGGGAGAGTTGATGGCGGCTGTGCATGGCCAGGGAGGGGTTGGGGAGCAGGATTTTTGCTGCCATCGGGGCCTTTCCTCTGGGTGCCGGAGCTGCGGGGTGCACAGGGGTGCTGTGGGGTGCAGTGGGGTGCACGGGCAGGGGGATGAAGCTGCTGTGCTCCGATGCTGCTCATGGTGGGCAGCCACGGGGCTGGGATGGGGAAAGCACGGCCAGGGCTGCTGCTGGGCTGCAGGGACAGGGGGCGAGAGCCACAGGACAGCACGGTCGGCGGCGGCACCGGGAAAGAAATTACCCGTTCGTGTTCCCCCTCCCACCAGCACAGCCTCGGTTCCTTCAAATTACATGTTACGTGTTATGGTCCCGAGTCCATCGCTGGCTCAGTCTCTTGGCCCCAGGAGCGTCGCTAGTGCAGGGAGGGGGCCTTGGTTGTCCCATGCGGGAGGGACCCCCAGAGGCTGACGTCCCCTCACCCCAGGTGCGCGACGGACCACAACTCGGACAACACGACGGCGATGCTGCGGGAGTGGCTGGGGGCGGTGGGGAAGGACTATCACTCGGTGGCCTGGAAGGTGCAGGAGGAGCCCAGGTGAGGCTGGGAGGTGCCCGTGTGGGCTGCGAGGGGCTCCTGGAGCAGCGCCCCGCTCCCTGGCTGGGGACGCTGCCAGGAGGAGCTGGTGTCGAGGCAGAGCTGGGCTGACTCAGCTGGCTGGCACACGGCGGCGTGCACCAAGTTTGTGCGTTCCCAGCGAGTGGGGTTAACCCCTGCCTCCCCCCCGGCCAGCTCCTACCCCGACGAGCTCGGGCCCAAGCACTGGAGTGACAAACGCTATGAAAACCTGATGAGGCTGAAGCAGGAGGCTCTCACCTATGCCCGGGAGCAGCGGGCGGACTATGTCCTGGTAAGGGACATAGGGTGTCGGCGGGGTGGGGGCCGAGGCGGGCGTCCCCACGCCTCCAGGACCTGTGCCGTCCCCCCAGTTTGTGGACACCGACAGCATCCTGACCAACAACCAGACCCTCAAGTTTCTCATGGCGCAGAACAAGTCGGTGGTGGCTCCCATGCTGGACTCGCAGACCTTCTACTCCAACTTCTGGTGTGGCATCACACCCCAGGTACGTCCCCGGAAAGCCTCAGGGAAGGGGACGCCCCCCCGCCATGGCGGAAGAGCCCCCCACCATGAGGCATCACGCCGGTGTGCTGCAGGGGTACTACCGCCGGACGGCCGACTACTTCCCCACCAAGAACCGGCAGCAGGTGGGCTGCTTCGCTGTCCCCATGGTCTATGCCACCTTCCTGATCGACCTGCGGAAGGAGGAGACGTCACGGTTGGCTTTCTACCCGCCCCATCCCAACTACACCTGGGCCTTCGACGATATCATTGTCTTCGCCTACTCCTGCCAGGCAGCCGGTGAGGGCCAGGGGGCCAGGGCTTTGGGGGGCTGGGGGGTTTGGGGGGGGCTGTGGTGCTCACCCGTCCCACCTGGCAGGCGCAGAGGTCCACCTGTGTAACCAGCAGCGCTTCGGCTACATCAACGTCCCCGTGAAGGCCCACCAGACGCTGGAGGACGAGCGTGCCAACTTTGTGCATCTCACGCTGGAGGCCATGGGTGAGTACCCGCGGGTGGCGGGGTCCTGGAGGTGTCCCCTGCCCCAGGAGCGATGGGGACCTGGTGCCGGTCCCCGGGGCAGGGCTGTCGGCCCTGGTTCCCAGCCAGGGGGGTCTGGGCTCTGCTGAAGGGGTGTCCCCTCTCTCCGCAGTGGATGGCCCCCCCATGCAGCGCTCCAGGCACATCTCCCTCCTCCCCAAGCCACTCACGAAAATGGGCTTTGATGAAGTAAGTGCCCAATGGACCCTGCCGTGTCCCCCTGTTCGTCCCTCTGGCTGCATCCATCCATGGCAAAGCCCGCCACAGGCTTTGGCCGAGCCCCCTGTTGCCCATCGTGCGGTGGCCGGGCAGGCTGTGTGCCCCCCGGTGACAACATGTCCCCTCGGTGGGGCTCTCCCCTTCCTCCCCAGATCTTCCTCATCAACCTGGTGCGGAGGCCAGACCGGCGCCAGCGGATGCTGGCATCCCTGTGGGAGCTGGAGATCGCCCCGCGGGTGGTGGACGCCGTGGATGGGAGGTGACTGCGGACAGACGTGTCCCTGCTCTGCCAGCCCCCTTTGTCACCCTGGGGAGCGGACAGGGGGTGGCTGGAGGGGACGCCTTGCTGATGCAGCCCCTTGCCTTGCAGCACCCTCAACAGCAGCGACATCAAGGTGCTGGGGGTGGACCTGCTCCCTGGGTACTACGACCCCTTCTCTGGCCGCACGCTCACCAAGGGCGAGGTTGGCTGCTTCCTCAGCCACTACAACATCTGGAAGGAGGTACGGGGCCGTGGGAGCCATGGGAGCCATGGGGTCCTCAAGGGCCACAAGCATGGGGCAGGGACCCTGTGAGCATCATCAGGTCTCTGGAGAACCTGGGGATAGGGGTGTCCTGCAGGGTGAGTGGATCCAGTATGGCCCAGTGCCATGCTGGGGTGGGTTTGCACCTCTGCCCCCTCCCCATAGATCGTGTCGCGGGGGCTGGAGCAGTCGGTGGTCTTTGAGGACGATGTGCGCTTCGAGGCTGCCTTCCCGGCGCGGCTGCGGCAGCTGATGGAGGAGCTGGAGGGGGCACAGCAGGACTGGGACCTCATGTAGGTGCTGGGGCTGGGGGTACGCGGGGTGCGGGTCCCAGGGGCTGGCTCTCACAGCTCGGTGGCCACCCCGCAGCTACCTGGGGAGGAAGCAGGTGAACGCGGAGGACGAGGTGCCCGTGGAGGGTGTGCAAAACCTGGTGGTGGCTGGGTACTCGTACTGGACACTGGCCTATGCCATCTCCCGCCGCGGGGCGCAGAAGCTGCTGGCTGCAGAGCCCCTCTCCAAAATGCTGCCGGTGGACGAGTTCCTGCCCATCATGTACGACAAGCACCCCAAGTAAGGAGCAGGGGGTGCAGGAGGGCTTGCTGGTGGAGTGACATGGCCATGCCGGTGAGGGAGCATGAGTTTCTTCTCTGCCATCACTGTCTCACCCTGCTTTCCCCCCCCAGCATTACTCATGCTGGAGGAAAACATCTGTAGCATGAGCTCATTCCCCCCAGCCGCTGCCTGGCTGCCAGCCGCTGGAAAATGGCCCTCTGCCAGCGTGGGGTGGGGGGACGGGAGTGGGGACAGAGCCAGGGCTCGATGCTGGCCCCGCACAGGGGTCTTGGCCCCATGGTGAGGGGGGAGCAGCCCCCTGTACCCCGGCGCTGGGGGGCTGTGTGGTTCCCTGCCCCTGGTTGTGGGTCTCAGCCCCATCTTGGGGCACGTCCACGCCCCTCTTCCTGGGGGGGGGCAGCGGCAAGGCTGTGTCTGGGGAGGGGGAGGCAATTTAGGGGGTGGGCGAGTGCTGGTGGCTGGGTGTCCTGGGGGAGAGGGGGGTGGGAAAGCCAGTGAGCAGGATGGCGAAACAGAGGGATTAGGCATGTAAAAGGGAGGCTGGAGGTGGACAGAGGGGCGGATTAGTGCTCTGGATGTGAACCAGGAGCAGCTGGGAGTCCCATGCTCGCCAGGATAACGGCACCAGACAGCCCTGGCCCGGGGCCAGCTGGGGCCAGGCTGGCGGGATGCTGTGCCGGAGACCTGCTCTGTGCCAGGGCCGGCTCCATGCCACCGAGGCTGGTGGGGAGAGATGGGTCCCATCCCCTCCCCGGTCCCTCCCCAGCCAGGCGCTGCAGGCAGCAGCGGCGCAGGGCAGGCCCCCAGCTCGGCTCCACCAGGCCATGCTCTGTAAGCCAATTTCTCCTCTCGGGTCCGTGCCACTTTCGCCAGCGAGGATTACAAGCGGCACTTCGCCCCCCGGGACCTGCTGGTGTTTTCGGCTCACCCCCTCCTGGTTTATCCCACCCATTACGCTGGGGACAGCAACTGGCTGAGCGACACCGAGACCTCCACCATCTGGGACGACGATACCAAGAAGACCGACTGGGCTGGCTCGCAGAAGACCCTGAGGGACTCACAGGGCAGTGCCGGCCACCTCCGCTCCACAGCCCGCGACGAGCTCTGATGGTGAGCGAGGTCGTGGGACCTGGGCGCGTGGTGCTGGGGACAGGGGGCAGAGTGACTGGGAAGCATCTCCCTGCAAGCGCCGTGTTCGGATGTGTCCCGGATGCCTAGTTTCTTTTTGCCATGCCGCAGCAGCTCTCCCCATCAGACTCAAAGCACTGGGAAGCAGAGATGAGACCTCTTCCAGGCGGGGAAAGGGATGGGGATGCACTGGGCTGGAGGGGGCCAGGGGACTGGGTTATGCCGCTCCCCGAGTCCGTGCTGCTCCTCAGCCCCTCAAGTGAGGACGGGACAACGCTCCTTTGCCTCCTGCAAAAGTCACCCTGGTTTGGAGAGAGCTGGGGGCATTGCGCAGGGGAAAGTTTCACCCCGGTGCTGCTTGCTCCCGCCCAGAGCAGGTCTCCCTGGGGCTGTGTCTCCATGGGGCGGCCGTGCAGGCAGGCGAGCGCCCGCGCTTGCTTGGCCCTAAGGCAGCACCTCCGTGGTTAATGCCGGGTCAGACTTTCCCTGTCTGAGGTTGCTCGTGCTGGCAGCAGAGCTTCCCTGGGAGCAGCCAGACCGGGGGAGGCTGGAAAACAATCCTCCCACCGCCTCTGCTGCAGGCGTGAACGCGTCGGGGCTGCTCCTGCCTTGACCGCTAACATTTGCGTCCTTGCCTCCTAGGGACGAGGGATTCTGACCCAGCTGGGAGCACCGTGAGGCAGTGGCCTGATCCTGCCTGCTCCCGCTTGAGAGATGCAGCTGCCCTGGACAGATCCCCCCAGGGTCCTTTGAATCTGCACGGGGGGAACCCATCCGAGGCAGGATTTGCCCCAGGGCTCCCGGAGAGCCCTTTCCCTGCCTGGTGGAGGGACCGGGGGAGCGCTGTGCTCCGGCTCTGCTGAGGCCACGTCTCCAGGACTGCCCTGAGTGATGCCAACTCTGCCGTCTCCCACCGGCTTGGACTTTGGGGAGTGTTTTTCAGGCCGGGGGCTGGCTCCCGCGGTGGCACACGTGGCCTCCTGCCGCCGACTGGGCTTGTCCCTCACCTGTGCCGAAGCCCAGGGAGGATTAAAGCACACTGTGTTTGAGCTGACGTACCAGGTGCTGGCTCTGCCGGGTGGCATCGCCCCGTGTAAGGTCCCCAGGGCATGCCCCGCCGGGGTCACCTCGGAGCTGCGGTGGTGAGGGTCTGGTGTTTCCCCCGGCTGGGGATGGCTTTGGGAATGACATCTGAAATGGGGAAAGGGAGGGAGGGAGGTGGGGTGGGAGACAGAGACCAGAGCTCTCCCTTGGGATCTGGGGGTGAAAAGGTGGGTGGGATTTCCGCGGAGCTCAGCTCTCCCCTGGGAATGCTGACAGAAAGGATTTCCCTCATCGGTGCTAGGTTTGGCCTTGGGACTGTAAACCCGACACCAGCTTGAGCACCGAGGTGTGCAGCCGAGTCCTGCTGGGCTCCGGCATCTGTCACCTTTGTGGCCAGCTCTGGAGGAGGGTGTTTGCTTTCCAAGAGCCCCGGCTTGTTTGGTGCTAAACCTCAGCTTCTCGGCAGGATGATGTTCGGTTGAAAACTGAGGATTTTCTGGGGTGGAGGAGCAATTATTTCCTTAAAACTACTGCAACTAGCCCTAGTCTGGGTGATCTGGGGAGGTGTGAGCTCCCTGCCAGGCCCCCAGAGCTGCCGCCTCTCTCCACCCCTGCCTGGCAGCTGGCTGCCCCTTTTGGCCCTGGAGCAGCTGCTGGGCTTAGCCCCAGGATGGTGGGTTGCCACCTTCACCCAGGGCTTGGGGGGCTGCGCCCCTCTTCTCCCCACAGCTCGATGAAGGCAATGGAGCAGTGGGTAGAAGCCTTGGTAGCCAAGACCCACAGCGGGATGTCTGAGACCACCAAATAATCCAGGAGAGCAGTGTTTGGGGCAGGCTGAATAGCTGCAGCAGGGACCTCCTGAAGGAAAACCGGCTCCAGGAGATCACACGGGACCTGAAGATCCGAGTGGATCTACTGGAGAACAGGGAGGAGATGGCCAAGTGCAAGGTCTGCAGCCACAGGGTCTCAGCCAGTACAAGCACGGGCAATGCAGCAGGGTGGAGAAGTGACCCATGGCAGGTTGGGGACACCTTTGCTTCCCTGCCTGTGCCCTGGTCACAGGTAGCCTCAGGGCTACAGGAGGAGCTCAGGAGCTGGAGCGGAGGAAGGTCTGGTGCCAGCTGGAGCGGAGCAAGGAAGCGGCAGCAGTGCTGCAGCACGCATGACCCAGCAAGGGTCCTGGCGCTCGTTCCAGCGCCCACTGGGATGCGGGCGAGGAGCTGCCTGCGCGGGGGCTCGGTGCAGCCACGCTCACAGGGCGTGCAGCCGGCCAGGGCGTGCAGCCGGCCAGGGCGTGCAGCTGGCCAGGGCGTGCCAGCAGAGCCTGGGGCTTTGGGAAGCTGCAGTGGTGTGGAGACCTCGCTTCTCGGGCTGCCCTCTCTGCCATGAGACCTGTAACGGGTCTGCGAGGAGGAGCCAGAACTCCTCCAGCTGTTCGAAACTCTGGGGTTTGGCTGAAAATCACCTAACAAAAACTGAGGCCAGCCCTGAAACTTGCCACAGCTCAGTGGAAGCAGCCCTCATGCGCTGCTGAGCTGTGAGATTCCACGCGACTCGTGCCTTCCACAGCTTCTCAACAAAGCCGAAGTGGTTTTGGATCCTGCGGAAGTCGCTCCTGTTGCTTCCCCCTTCCCACTGGAAGTTTCCCTCCAGCCTGCGCTGGCGGAACATGGATGGGAACACGGATTTGAGCTGCAGAGAGCCAGCAGGCGGCGCAGGGGAGACGGGCAGGAGCACGGCAGAGCCAGGGGCGAGGGTTTATTTAATTTCTGTGCCAAACTACCGCGTGAAGCCCCTGCAGGGGTTTGAGTGGGACACGAGCTGCCCGTAGCCGCGTGGGGACGGACTGGGGTTGCCCCAGTGCCTGGCCAGGCTGCACGGCACGGCCGGCTCTGCTCCGCACCACGGTCACCGCGGAGAGCCCGCAGCGCTCTGTCCATTGGCTACGCAGGTCCCTGGGGGTTCACGTCAGCCCCTGTCCCCCGGCTCCCCCACGGGCGCTCTCCTCTGCAGAATGTGCTCCAGCAGGCAGGTCGCTGCCTGAGCCAGGACCTGCTCCAGCCTCTCCTGCTCCCCGGCGCTGAATGGAGCCAGGACATAGCTGGACACCGTCATTTCACCCTCCGGCCGCCCGATGCCAACCCTGACCCGGGTCATCTCCTGGGGAGGAAGAAGGAGAGCTGGGGGAGCTTCACCTCAAGGGCCCAGCTGAGACAGAGCTGGGGCAAGGGGACGGTGCTGTGAGCGGGGCTGGGTGGCGAGGGAGCAGCCCCTCATGTTTTCCAGGTGGTTTCGGGTGCTTGTTCCAAGAAACATGATTTTGGAAGAGGCTTTTGCTGGGCTGTGCTGAGATCCCAGGCTCCTGCCAGGCCTGGCAGAGCCACTCAAACTAATTGTTTCCATGTCCTCCACAGCGGCCAAGCCGACATCAGCCCTCGGGGAAGCAGAGGGAAGGAGGGGAAGGGGAAAAGGGGGGTGAGGAAAGGGAGCAGGGGCTTGTCTGAGGGGAGCTGGAAGAATGGGAGTGGGGGGATGACAAGCCATGCGCTGAGGTGGGGGCAGGACTGATCCCCTTCCATCGGGGCCCACTCACGTTGGACTGCAGAGCACTGATGCAGGATCGGACCCCGTTGTGTCCCCTTGGGAGAGAAGGAGAAAACCCACCGTTAGTCTGTAAGAGACCCCCCCACCCTGGTATGGGCTGGGGGTCTCTCGCTGCAGGGACTCAGGGACGTGGTCCCAGCCAGGGGCTGCAGCCCCCATGCCCTGGCTCTGCAGGAACATCCAGCCCCTGGGGCTGAGCGTGGCTGGGAGGGGTGGACGAGGGGAAGCAGGGATGGGACGGCACGTTTTGCGCGTCTCAGCTCTTGCTGCAGCTGGTGCGTGCGTGACTGAGCGCCGTGGCCCAGTACCATCCCTGCCCTGGCCCGCAGTGGAAGATTTCCTAGGTTAAATGTCTCAAGGCTGCCCCAGGAGTGGCGCTGGGGCAGGCAGAGTGCTATAAAAAGCCCATGTGGTGCAGCCGATGGGCTGGATCCAGCCCACAGCCGCTTCCAGGAGGCTCCGTGCTCTCCCTGTCAGAGCAGCAACCGGGAGGCTGCCCAAACAGCTGGCTGTTGCGTCTGCCACTGGGATGGGGCCCAGGGCTAGCGCTGGGGCTGAAAGCACCGCCAGGCTGGTGGGCCGGGACCGGGAACGGCCCACGTGCCTGTGAGGGCATGGCGAGGCCTCGAACCAGCTGACGCAACCGGAGAGCTGGGGCCAGCCCATACCTTGCGCTGCCTCCCAGCTTGATCGCCACCTTGCCCAGGGCCTTGTCCAGGTCGTCATGAACCAGGTAAATGTCTTCTGGGCGGAGGCTGTAGATTTCGGCTTTGGAAACAGAAATACAACCCAAGAAATGAGGGGGAGGCAGGCTCACCAGGCCCGGACCCCGCAGAGCTGGGCAGGGGGCAGCAGGGCCGTCGCGGGGCCCGGTGGCACAGCAGGCGTCGGGGGTGCCCCAGCCGCTCACCGGCGCTGGCGACGCTGAGCCCGTTGACGTTCATGAGCCTCCGCGGCTTGAGCAGCAACAGCTCCCGGCCGCCGGCCGCGGCCCCGGCCACC